TTGTCAAAAGTCTAATACTGCTACTTGACGCAAAACTCGGCCTACGCATTCTAAACTCGGCCTAACGCATTGAAACGCCAATGAATTCACTTCGGCCTATCGGATGAAGATAAAAGTTGATTCGTTCGGAGCGCTTCTTTTGTTTTTGGGAATAATGGGTGCAAACCTATCATATCACGCGTTCTCATTGACTTCGTTCGGTAGCTAATTAACTAAAGTATCGTACCAAACGCATAATTGACAACTCTGAAATCATCAGTGTTCACTCAGCTGTCAACAAAAGCAGGCCACTCTCGATGTGTGCCACGCAATCGTCTGTTTTCTCGGCAGCAACCATTGTGTGGTCCTCCTCATTGTTCTTCATCAGCAGTTCTTTCGGTCGATGCGTCGTCGACTTTGGAAAGCAACCGTTTCGTGATGAGTGTGTGAGTGTTGACCACGTTCTGCGTCCATTGCTGCAATGGAAGCGCTCTGACCCCCGTTGGCGTAACTGACATACAATGAAACCACTGGAAGCGGATCCAGTTCTGATGGAGGAGGCTTTTTGGATAGCGGAAGATAAAGTGTTCATTGTGTTGTACCTTTTGACTATAGTCTTAGGATGTATTGTATAGTGACCAAGAATCCTCGGCTCTGTTAATTCGGTTGAGCCTTATCAAATAAATTAATGAACAAAAAAAAACTCAGAAATCATGGATTTATTTGAAGTTTTCTGCTCGATAGGCCCAAAATGGGCGATTAGGCCGAAGTAGTTCTCTACGTCTCTACCCTACTTCTGTAACTATCATCGGATAAGAAAACGATGATAGAGATTTTCTTCAAAATCTCATAGAATGTTTTGTCATGACAGAGCGTGATAGTGGTGTGATCATCGTAAGTACTAGCTCATTTATTGCTGTTAATGTTCCTAGTTCCGAGGAAATCTTAATAATATATTCACTCTACCGATTGCATACAGTTCCATGCTTAAAAAATCAGTAAGAAATGTTGATGTCAGAACCGCATAAGAATTATTCTCATGCGTGCTTGATCATTGGAAAATGATAAGAAAGCCAATGATAGGTAGTTTCGTCTCGTGATAGTGAGAGGGCCTGTTTTCTCATTGTCACATGACGGCCGTGATACTTACCAGTTCCGATAGATTTCGGTGCTGCCAAAGGAGGTTCCAGTGAGCTTCAATGGAGTTTTCTCGCATTTTCGGTGGAGTAGACTCTGCACGATTCCAGTGCAGAACCGGAAAATTCCGAGGAGGACGACTCTATCTACGATACAGGAAAGATTGTGGTTTGCTGTGGCTAGCTGCGCGTACGCTGAGTAGATAGAAAGAGGATTGATGACGATTCTGGAGCTTTGCTGCAAAAAGATGATGCGCGATGTAAGTAGATGCGAGAAATGAAAGAAGATTTTTAGAAGATTGATTCGCTAGTGTGAAATTTTTTGAGCATCTAGCATTGAGATTTAGATGTGTCGCCCCCCTCGGAAAATTCGACGGATTTTTTCCGCGTTCTCGGTCGAGGATCTTCTGGAATAATTTTCTCACGCCAGGAAAGTGGATTTGAGCGAAACCGAAGCGAACAACAAAACAGGACAAAACCTGGGGGGAGGTGACTGTCAAATACGAACAATCGTTGCCTACCTCGCATAACTGGTTCCAAACGGCAACAAAGCTGTTAGCAACGATGGTTTGTTTATGTTTGGAACCAAAATCACATATGGAAAAGCAATGAGCGTAAACAGGTAAGGCCCAGAAAATTATCGTCTCTTTCGTTCTTTGGCTGATTAAATGGATGACGGAGTTTGAAGTCACACTCCTTCAACCTTGTAGAGTCCACAAATGGCCGCCACGTAGGCTATAGATGCACTTCCACCTCGAGTTTTCAATTACACAAATCTCGGAAATTAGAGCTACATTTCACCTGAAATTGCTACTGCATCTATGCTGCAGCGCAGCAAACGTGGAGTAACAGATTAATTGTAGTACGTATCGTGGAAGCTGATATTTGTGCACTTAAAGTTTCGAAGTGGTATAAGGATCTCGCAGCGAATCACCTTAAACAACGAAAGAGATGAGAAATTAACTGAGTCTTACATATTTACATCTCATTGATGGATTTTCAGTTGGCCGATTTGGCAGCGCATCCCACCCCTAGACAAAACCCTTCATGTACACGGTAAGAAAAAAGTACCCAACGGCCAGTTTACTTTTACCTACTTTTGACTAGTTTGTCTCCTTTTCTCCTTCTAATCTTGTCAAAAACGGAGGAGCAAAACCACCCAACAGGGGTAGTAAAATGTGGGAACCCAACGTTGAGAATAATCATATTTACCTACTGTTGGGTACAACTAACTTACTTTTGGTTATAAATCCAGTGGAAAATTCCATACGAACTGTATACAAGTAAATTAAAATTACTTTGACCCGCTTTACCTACTTTTGGGTTCCTGCACTATAGTGCCGAGATGAGTGAAAAGAACTTAATATTGGGTACTTTTTTCTAACCGTGTATACATGCATGTATTGGTGGGAGGTGTCACTTAAAGCTACACACAGCAAAAAATTTACTTTTTTTTGTTATAACAAATGCACTTAGCGCCTTCCCCATATCTAAAATACCCATATTGCATGGTTTCAAATTATAAATCGTCGAGAAAAGGCAACCAACGTGAATTTCAGTCCGCTATATTGGACTTCAAAATGGCGGCGGAATACGATTTTTGATCTTTAGACATCTTTCCCATACCCAAAATACCCATGTTGCATAGTTTGAGATGATGAATTGGAAACTATGCGCCATGTACTCTGATCAACTATTTACGCTTTAATCAACTTGTCCATTTGGCAGCACTGCACCTCCATTTACAGCTTATTCGTCCAATCGTAAAAGCGTGTTTAGCAAAAACCAGGTTCGACTTCCATGAACCATTGGATGTGCACCACTCGTAAACACCTGTTGCGATTTGGAGAACCGTGGCAGTACATGTGTGCACCGGTTGGTTTTCTTGTCCACCACTGGTGTATTTCAGCGAAAAATTTCGAGGGAGTTTTTGGAAGAATTCTTCGAGAGATTTGATTAGAATTCCAGAGAAAATTCTAGGTCAATTTCTTATGAGTATTCTAAATAAGTTCTGAAAAAAGAATTTGTATAGGGTCCCGATGAATTTTCCAAAAAAAATCCGAGTGTATTGAATCCTGAGGAAATTTGAAAGGTAACACTGTTGCACAGTTTAATTTTTTCTAGGGTAGAAAAGTTAACCCACAATTGGTTTATTATGACTTAAAGTCTAGATCTAGATTATTTCTTAATGCTTTTTTTAAAACCCGCAGCACCTCCGTGTGGCAAGGTCGCTGATCTCATACACGTCTGTAGGGCGGAACAACCTCATGAAGAGAGCGGTACCTAGACATGAACTAAGGAAACCATAAGAAAGTCAAATATGATATCCCTGTCTTTGAAAGTCGTGTTGCACAGTATGATTTGAAGTGATTTCTAAAGAGAGAGTTCCAAGGGAATTCCGTCCAAAAACCAACTGTATCGAATTTTGACGGTACAATGCCGATGGAATCCCGAGGATAGTGCCAAAAGGATCTCAAGAAGAAATAATTCTGAGCAGAATTTCAATATAAATCTGAGGTGAATTGCAAAGGAATAACTTGATTAACGCCGATAGCATGCGAGTGGGATGAAAATAATAGATCCGAATAAATAGAAGGATGGACAGTAGGGTGCGGTTTATTTTTCGAATGTTCATGAAACCTAAACTCATTCGTTTTTCTGGCGTCAACATGGTTAGGAAATTGATGTCCTCGAGCATGAAGTAAAAATAAATAGATTTAGAGGTGGCGCAAACGTCTCCTTCAAGAATTTACTTTTACTAAAATCATAGTATAATTGTTCAACCAAGAGTCTTTGCATTATTTTCTTAATAACTAAATTCCTGAAATGTTTGTAGAACACAATATCTGTCTGATTCTGCATCAAGAATGAGTTTGACGTGGATTTCTTTAATTTTTTCTTAATTTAAAGTAAAAAACATAATATTCAACCAGCCATAACTTTGTAATTTTTTGACGAAATTCGAATCTTGTGGTACCAATTTAAAGATAGTTATGTGTTCTAAATTGTTTGAGGACTAAGTATACCCTTGAAACAGCATTCTGATACTGTTTTGTTTGACATAAATTATTGTTACTGAGATATAGTGAACACCCCATAACTCGACTTCGTGGAAACCACCTGAAGATATGTTTCACACTTCATTACTTCCATCACCTTGCTAATCGGTTAGATTGAGAGAGATTTAGTTGCAATTATGTTTCAGAGGTTATGTGCATTAGCTGGTACTAACTTAGCGAGTACCTTAACCAACTACCGACAATTTTGAACAATTTCAATGCTACAGTGATAAACTACTGCAACCATGACTCTGCTACTGACCATTATCGATCGCATTACTGTCGTTTCTCCCTGCGGTGTCTATGCAATGTACCCGTGTAAAATTTCCCGTTAATTTGCCGTTGGCTTTCTAACGTCTACATTAGCAATGAAAGCTTAACACATTTTTACTCGGGTAGTCTGTCAGCTCGTCGCGGGAATTTTCGCTCGTCAAATTTAACGATTCACTTTCAATAAAAGGGTTGGCTCGTCCACACTCGAACGACTCGAACAACCATCAGAGAAACATAGAAGAGAGAGAGAGAGATGGAGATAGAGAGCAAAATAGGTTATAAGTTACGAAAGCCATGAGCGATGAAAGTGAATTGATAAGTGAGTGAAATAAATAAAAATACGCAGGCTTGGCGCCAGGGATGGTGTAATTGTACTATTGCGTGACATGAATGATTATAATTTGTGAAAACATGTATTTTCTCCTATGTAAATTGCATTAATTTCGAAATTCTTAACACCAAAACCAAATTCTGCACCTCTTCTAACGACACTTTTGAGTGCATTTCTACACGAAAAAAAAAAATCCTAACAACAATCTTTTTCACATTGCAGGTGGTCCTGGACGGCGAAGAGGTACAGATCGACATCCTGGACACGGCCGGCCAGGAGGACTACGCGGCCATCCGCGACAACTACTTCCGCAGCGGTGAAGGGTTCCTGTGCGTGTTTTCAATCACCGAAGACGACAGCTTTCAGGCGACACAGGAGTTTCGGTACGTGCTTTTTTCCTTCGAGTGGTTTGAATTATTTTCGTGACGGTTTCGTCTTTTTTTAGGGAACAGATATTGCGTGTGAAAAACGACGAGAATATCCCGTTCCTGCTCGTCGGCAACAAGTGCGATTTGAACGACAAACGGAAAGTGCCACTGGCCGAGTGCCAGGCCCGTGCGCAGCAGTGGGGTGTGCCATACGTCGAAACGTCGGCGAAGACGCGCGAAAATGTCGATAAGGTAGGTGTGGTGAAGCGGGCTTCATTTCATTCTATGTTTGGTTGGGTTTTGAGGTCATTGGTAACAACAAAGCTTTGCGGAATGAGCTAGCCTGCCTTTAAATGCTTTCTTTTAGTTGTTTTGCTTGTGTTTCTAAATTGTTTTTGTTTTCTTAACTAGCTTATTTGTTTGGACAACAGTTTGTACGGTTTCATGGTGGTAAGCTCCAACCGGTATAATCCAGAGATTAAATCCCGATCAAGAATGTCCGGCTGCTTTGATGTCGACATCGGAGTTATCCCATCAGGGTCGGTATTAAAAGTTAATCCAGGATGGAGCTTGCCGCCATCAGAGTAAAATTTGGTTTTATCGCTCACATCGTAAACATTGTTTTCTTGAAGATGTTCAAAGGTTTTGTGAACTTTTTTCTGAGTACTTCTAGGTCTTCTAGAGGACTAAAAAAAGCAATTTCAAGAAAGTATGAAAGATTTCCAGGTGCATGTGAGGGACGTTGGACATTCCAAAGTGGGAAGAGTGGAAATGCCAATTCCCTGTTGCTACTCTCCATTCATAGGGGCATCTTCGTGATAGATTGCTTATTTTCTGACCGATGGTAGGATGTTGGTGGAAGGAGATTCTCAATTATCCAGGCGATTTTGCCTACGGAATTATCCAACCCGTTTTTAACTCTGAACCGAATAGAACGCAACAACTGCCAATTGAAAGGCACTATGGTCCCACAGAACACATTAATATGTTTGGAATCGGTCAACTGGTTCTGGAGAAATGGCTGAAATATGTTCCGGATTGTATGGGCCATGAGTCAAAATCTGACTAGAAACGAATAAAATCTATTTTTTAATATCTTTATTAAGGAGCTTTTCAGCTCTGGGCTGGTTCCTCTCCGGCCAAAAACCTATTATGTGACACTTCAAATTATATTAGAATTCAAAAACTAATACTAAAACTATAACTAAAATAAAAGTCATTTGAAGTACTCAGGACTACACTGGCCACATCCGGACATGGTCCAGATACCCGCGGGGAAGTGACAACTTTCTGACCAGGGTCAAAATCGAGCATGCGATACCTCAAATCACATGATAATTCAAAAACTAGTTCAATGGAAGTCATATGGAGTGCCCAAGATCACGTTGGTCACATTCGGATGCACTATTTCTGAATTGGAAACATTAGTTTCATTTTGTAGTTTAGGGTATTACCTTTGATGGTTTTCTACATTCATCGAGTACATATTATTCATTGTTGTAAACAATATTTAGAATATACTTCAAAATACTATCAAAGTTACCCCGTTTTACGGTACCTAAAATTACATTACTATTAGTAAGAAGGTTCAGATCCATACTAGCAATTGCTTATTGCAGCTTAAATTCTATTAATTGAAATTATGAAACTAATTATATTATAATGATATATTTTATTTGTAAGACGCAGCAGAGGGGGTAAAGTTTGTGTACGATACATACAACCTGCCAATTTCGCTTTCAAAGGGTCAGCGATTTTATGATTGCTGATTGCTAAGTCATCGCTCATTACAGCTAAAATCGCTGATTGTAACCCTCTGAAAGCAAAATTGACAGGCGTTATATGTTATACACAAACTTTGTCTTATATCTTACATATACAAATTATTATTATAATAGCTCATAGTTTCATAATTCCGAAAAATATAATCTTAGCTGTAATGAGCATTTGCAAGCTTTGTCAGATCTCACCATAGGTGGATCAATTAAGGTTTTATTACTTTTATTGCAGTCACTTTAAACACTCTTGGGCCATTCATAACTTGCCCGGGGTGAGATTTGAACTTGTGACTTTGGCGTGAGAGGTGTTAACCGCTACGCCGGAGCCACCCAAGGTTTGTCAGTTTGATTATATGGTACTGAGTCATTACAGATTCCGTCCAAGAGCTTTTCCAACCTGGACGATTATCTCATATTGGGTCATTATGATTGAATGACGATTTGGTATTTGATATTGCACCTAATATACCATACACATATGTGAAAATTCTTCAATTATTTATGAAACTTTTTTTTTTAGTTCTAAAACATGTTTTCTATTGCTACTTTTCATTTTCAATAGTTTATTGCTCCTGAGCAAGCAGGTTTATTTGCATTTTTTGTTATTCAATTCTAGCGTTTTGGAGACTATTTTGGTGTTTTCAGACCATTGCAAATCTTCCATAGATTACCCGAGCAAAGTGTGAGATCAAATTAAAAACTAAATGTGCTGTTTTGATGTTGCTGGTAATGATTACTCAAGGTGCTGTTGTTTTGGTCCTTTTAACGGTTCAACATTGAGTGCAAACAAATCTTCCTGTGACATCACATCGAAAACTAATTCTGGTAGCAGTGAGGGCAAACTGAAAACACAATTCGATGTCAAGGGGTAATCAATTCTGCACACTGTGCCGAAGGACATCGTAGCACATTGATTGGCAGACGATGACAAGTATGACAAAGAATATAATATAAAACAGCATCACTGCTTTGTGTTGACATTTTACCAATCGTTGCTAAGGATTGCTACTTTGTTTACTTCAAAGTAAGGGGAAGTTTTCTTTTTCAGATTAAAGTCGATTTTCCAGCGAGGTTGTCCCAAATCATAATACAAGATTGCACAATTGACGAGACTCTCTGTGGGATGGACTTCTAAAGAAAGTCTACAGGATTTTGGGGACAACCCAAACAAATTAGTCAGAGTCCCCTGCCGCGTAGAATAGGCCTGCTTACACCAGATGGCCATAGGATCCGGACCGAATGCAAATTGTATAGGTAAAGAGAATTGCATAATCCAGTTCCAATTGATGGATGGTGTCAACAAGATCCCGATGCAGAATGGTCCACCAATCAGTTAACCGGCTGCTGGAGTTAGTGGAAAATATTAATGAATAACAAGCAGAGACAAAGTGGATCAAACGTTGGCAACCGGTATCAAGATTCTGGAGCAGCATTTGGATGCTGTTGGATATTAGTCGATGGAAGATGTGGATGAACGTATGAAAAGTGACAAGATTTTTTTCCGTGTTGGGTATTTTGATCACTGCGACTTAGATCTATTGTGATATATGCCCCGTTTTAATATTGCTTTATCAGCATGTCGTATCACCATTTTATGAAGCGACCGACATAGACTGACCGAAAGCATTTTCCCAGTCAGGTATTACATTTCGAATGAATTGCACTACTTGGCTGGGAACTGAATTTCAAATATCAAAGGGTTCTGTCAGTCCCTTATCCAGAAAAATACGCCACAAGCAAGTGTTCAGAGTCTTTTTTTTCTATGCCACATAATCGACACATGTCCTCTTGAAGTTTTCCTATTAGCTTCAAGTGATATTTACATGGACAGTGTCTTGTTATTAAACCAGTGTACATACTGAGATCTTTCTTTGATAGTTCAAGAATTTTGCTAGTCATTGAAATGCTCGGATTAATAACTCGTTTCGACTGCCTAGCAATGAGAGTGTTGTTCCAATTGGTCTCCACTTTCATTTTTTCCCATTTCTTGAACTCCATTCTAAGAGAGCAAGTAGAAACTCCACAGAATGGTTCTGGTCCTATAAATTGTTGAGATGATCCAAGCCTAGCTAGCGTGTCGGCTTTCTCATTCTCAATTTGCATTCTCATATTGAACATTTTTAGGATGCTCATATGTCCTCTAAGATAACCTTCAAAAAAGTTCTGTGACTTAATGCACTCCTTTCTGCTTCTAATTGAATAAATTGATGCAACGGAAGCAGATAAAGTAGAGCATCTTGGTGTGCTGCTCATTACACCAGTTATTGAGAGAGTGGCTAATCTTTGCAGTCTCCCCAGCTTCTTCTGAGCTGAATTTTCATTGGTTTTAAGCCACCAAACCAATGATGCATAGGTTATTCTGAGTCTTACAATCGTCAAATAAATCCAGTGGATCAATTCAGGACACCCTTTTACAGCTCTCACTGTTATGGATGAGCTTCCAAGGTTTCCATTTCGTTAATCCAATTAACTATGCTTTTATCGAACTCATGTTTCATCATAGCGTTTTTCATTGAGTGATAAGATGCATTATCAAATGCTTCTTCAATATCAATGAACGCTGCTAGGCAAATTACTTTTGATTCAAAAGATTTTTCTAGATTTGTAAGTAAGTAGCTGAGAGCCATGAGAAAGACGAAGGAAAGCAACACTAGTTCGTTAATGTACAACCTCAGCGGTTTGGGTCTCCTGTTTATTTATTAGGGTTTTCAGAAGTTCAAAGTCTCACCAAAAATGTATGGCTCAGTTAGACGAATTCAGTACCCAGACATTAAGAAGCTACTGTCTATTGCTGCTTCTACTGTCGCCGGTGGGTCGGTAGGTCAAATCCTTCCTGATTGCCCGAGTAGCATGATGATAATGTAGAGGCACATCTTCAACTTGCCGGTTGAGTACTTATTATGCAAGATTCGGTGAACGTCTACCAGAATGGCACCCGGTACAGAACTTTTTTTCTCATGGGTGGACAAATTCTGGCATCAGTCACCCTTCTGCAGAACTTCGAGGTTGGCAACGGTCAGCGTATACTGGCTAACAGTTCCAGCAGTGGCCGACGATTTAGTGCTTGCCGATCTTCTCAATCGTTTGGCATCGTTGAACCAAGAGGAATGAATGTTCTACAAAAAAAGACTCACATGCGTGTTATTTGATGCTCGTTTTACTTATAAACAGGACAGGCACAGTGATTACCCTTGTAAGAACGTGACAAGGTAAACAAATAATCTCAAAAGTCATAACTGCAGGGTTGCCAAACTCATGGGGTATTGAGACCGACAACTTGATAGCCACACTTCGGCACATTCGGCACAACGCTGGTCGCTGGGCTCAGCTTTCGGCATGTACATTTTTCCTGTTGATAACAAAACGAGGTGTACAGCAAAATGAAAACAAAATTTGTTATTAAATTTCTCAATCGCGTAAACTGAAAGCAAATTATGTTCAGTTCAGTTTGATGTTGATTTCAAAATTTGATTT